TTGATTAACTACTAACCCAAACTTGAACACTGTTATCAACACCAGCAGTGGCTGCGGTGCTACAACATCGATTTATGTATTATTATGCGATATTCTCAGTTAAAAGTAGGATTACGTGGCTCACTTAATTATATTCTTTATTTAATATCACTTGACATCATCTAGACGGTAATATAACCCCGAATTACTTCCAAAACTTACATAACTAAAGTTGGTCATGCCACGCTGTACAAATCAAATTCAATCTTTGGTCTCGAGCACAGCCCTAAAATTGTTGGGCTAGTCCAAGCTCCAAAGGCATCCTTAGTTCCTGTAGTTGTGAGCGAAATCGCAAAGATAAAAGGGAAGATTTCATAAATAAGAGTTTAAGTATACACATTTCAAAATTAAGAAAACAAGTTTCAAATTTCAAAAATCAGATTTTTATTAAAATTTATTTAGGATTTAATTAATTAATTTATTAATTAAATATATTTAGGTTACAGATATATAAAATTTGGTCACAAATGAATAATTTAATTAGTCACTTATTATTTTTTGGTCACAAATCAGAAATTTTATATTGCTAATTTTTTTATGATCATAATTCAAAAATTTTGTAAGTCACATTTTGTTCATCAGTTACAAATTAGAAAATTATTTAGTCACGGATTAATTTTTAGTCACAACTTATCAAATTGTTGGTCACAATTTATTTCTCGATCACAAATCAAAGATTTTATAGGCCCCAGAATCAAAATATTTATTGGTCACAACTCATTTATTCATTGCAAATTATTAGATTAATTGATCACGATTAATTTTTCGGTCGCAATTTAATTAATCGTGAGTCACAATCACAATTTTTAGGTCACATATTACAAATTAACCAATTATTAGTCATAACCAGCCAAATAATTGGTCACAAGCATCCAACCCAATCTCACGACCACCACAACTGCCATCACTATCACCATTACCACCACCAGACCACGCAAAACCACAATAGCTGCCCAAATACTAACAAAACCATCACCCAAAATATTAAAAAAAAAGAAAAAGAAATCGCACAACCACCAAACCGCCACTACCACCGGAATGTGTCACCACCAAAATGTCACCCAATGCTTAAGCCACCACCATCAACACCTGTAAAAACACCACCGCAACCCACCATTGAATCTCCAGCACCACCGCAACGCTCACAAAACCACCAATCACCAACGAAAACACCCAAAACTCAATAAATATGTCACCCAAAAATAAAAACAAAAAAATAACAGCACCCACCACCGCCACTGTGCACCTCCACCACTGCCTCATAGCACCACCACCGTGTAGCATCACAGTAATACTCCATCGCCACCACAACACCAACAATTGTCATTGCACGCGAAAAGCCACCACCCTTCCGCAAACCAGAAAACCAAATAAAAATCAGGAAAACCACCAATCTTCTTCCACTACTATCGGCTCCTCATGTATTCTGGCTTCCTCATCTAGGGTTTGTTTGATTGGGGCTTTATATTCCAATTTATTATCAGAGATCTGACAGATCTAAACGCGATGGTTGATGGAGCACCAAGGTGGTCCTGCGCACGGCTGCATTGTGTATGGCAATCCTACGAGTGGTTGTTTTCAGGCGACCAGCTGATGGAATGGCGATTGGAGCGACGATTGATTTCCCTCTACGATCGGCTGTTTTCTGGTGACAGTGAGAGAGAGAGAGAGAGAGAGAGAGAGAGAGAGAGAACGAATTTGGGAAATTGAGGGTTGGTTTGTAATTTTATTTAATCTTATAATATATTTATAGAATAATATTATCTTAAAACAAAATTCTGATTTTTAAAATAGTAAACTTTGCCTATGATTTATGAAATGTGATCTTTAAAACTAGGTTTTTATATAATTTCCACAAGATAAAATTACTTTTGAATAGAATTCACTACCCATGCGACCAAAATGCATTAAATGCTAGGAATTCATACACGATCACACAAACTATGAGAATATATATTTATCTCGTATCCAAATTTATGATTTTCATTGTTATGATCTAAACTCATGAATGTTCTCTTGATCTCATTAGGGTTAGCAAATCATTCACATAGTGATCGAACGTTTAAAGAAATTGATTTGATGCAGAGTAGCACATATGAAAGTTTGAAAACAAAGATTGTTGTACCATATACGAAACCTCTTATCCTCAATCTTCTATTGACTAAAACATTTAGTCTCTGATGATGGTTCGTGAACACAAATTCTATTAGCGTGCTTTGAAATGATGGAAAAATATTGATTTTCTTAGTTAAAAATATAATGACATACAAGTTTTTTTTAGCCCTCTTAACGAATTTTTTGGACAAAAGGCAAATGTCATCATCAGGGACAAAATGCACTAATTAATTCAAAAGTAGTGCAACAATGAAAATTGTGATGGCAATATAGACACGCTCAAAACGAAAAAGATGCCACGACAGTAGAAGTTATCCATTTTGGTGTCATTTGCTTAGATTTTCCTCTTGGGGTTGTGTAAAAGCCCAGATTGAGTCTACTATGATCCAGTCCAGTTGAATAAAAATGGAATTCGGCCTAGTATAGAGAGGGCCTAGAGCTCAGCCCATGTACACTACACAACCCAGCAAGTCAGCAAATAAAATCAAAAGAAAATAGAGGAAATTGCGGCACAGCGGGTATTTAAAGATTACAATTCATAAATCAGGTATCAAGTTTATTTGTTCAAATATTAAGTATTAATTTAATTATGTATATTAGTAATAATATTATAAAATCTACCCATTCCATGTTCTCCCTACCTCTCCTCTCTCTTGTCGTCGTCGCCATCATTGTCACCGGTGCCAGCATGGCATCAACGCTCACAGTGGCGAATGCCACTCACCGTGATAGATCCGATCTGCTGGAGTTTTGTTTTGTTCGATGGTTTGATTGCAATGCCGCCTCAATTCGATCTATTGGAGTTTTATTTTGTACTGTGGCTTGAGCACCACCTCGATTCGTTCGAATAGAGTGTGGTTTGCTAAATCAGCGCCTCAAGCGCAATCGTGCTAGATGGTTTGTGGTATGATGGACGATGATGCTATTGCGGCGATCTGGTGGCACCCAATCCCAAGACCTCTAGTCTATTGTTCGTTCTCTGTGGATTTGAGGTGGTGGCTGTGACGATTTTAGGGTTTTTTGTTGGGTGGTGGTTATGGTATGGTGTGGTGGAGATGGAGATGGAGGTTCTCTATTCTCACTAGTGATTGTTTTAGTTATTGGGTTGTTACTCGTGATAGTGGTGATGGTGGTGGAATGTTACAATGATGGTTGTTGATGGTAGAGGGGGTTGACGGTGGCTGCAGATTGTTGGGAATCTACTTATACATGCACAGCGGAAAATTAAATTATTTCGATTCCCATCCAATAGATCTCATTGTGTTTGGTTAGGAATTGTGATAAGATTGTACCTTTTCCAGATCTGCAATCCTTTTGCTTTTCTTTTCGTTCCACAACTTTGATTCGCCACCACAGCTGTCCAATTGTCCAGCCTCCAACGGTGATCCACACAGAGAATTTGATTGCAGCCTCTAGGGTTTTCTCTTGTGCTAGCAAGAATAATGAAAACCTTAATGGACCTCAAACCCTAGATATATATTTATATAAACCCAAATAGGCTCGGCCCGGTCCGGTCCAATAATTAATTAATCCAATTAATTAAACCCGGTCCGTGAATCAATTAATCCAATTAATTAATTCGAAAATATAAATAACAAATCCAATTAATTAATTTATCCAACGATTGTTAAATTAATCAATTGGCAATTTGCAATCTTCCAATTCTCTTTTGTGTGTGACCCATTAGGTTCCCGACCACGATGCCTAACGACGTGAAATATTATTTTGATCTAATCAAAATTGATAAATTAAAACACTCTTTTAATTTATCGTCAATTCACATTCGCCGTCCCTGATTGACATCTAGCAATGTGTCAGGGCAATACATGTGACGGGAAATGTCACGTGGTATGACAAAACCAAATTCGTTCGTTTACCGTGAAACTATAATCCCTTCGTCAATATGATCCGATCAATTACGAGATATGGAATTGTGTCAATCTCGATCATCGATCATATCTTTCACTCCACTATTAAGTCAATATAAATCGAAAACTCCTTTTCGACTTATGAGTACACCTTGGCCAAGGATTTCATCATTGACTTAATTGAATGAAACGCAGATTATAATCTCCTACTATCTAAGAGTGACGAATCCTTTATTGATCAATCACAACCTTCATACGATTCTTGACGTACCCTAACGATGTCGTATTAGCGGCCCTTTTCAGAGCAACATCCAACACCGCCAAAGTATGACTGTCCTCATATAAGGTACCATGACGACCTCAAGTCAAAAGGACCAATTCCACTACCGAACGTTAGAGATTAACCACTGACACTCAGATAGTTATCCATGTGGAATCTCTCGACGGGTCTCCAATGTTTTGTTCTATAACAAACATCCACGTGTTCACTTAAGTGTCACCACATTTTAGCTTGTGAGATCAGCTACTTACTTCACAAGTAAGAAATGCCACACGTGATGGTCTATCCGTAATAACGATATCCGTATCTCGTTATTACTTACGACCATGGTTTATTCAAGATCCAATTATATGTAATTTGTATCTCACAATCACAACTCCTTGTGATTAATAAATTACAAATATTTGAATCTACGGACTCTATTATTTATTTAATTGTCTATTAATTAAATAATAGATCTGCCATTTAATTACATTAATTATATATAAAAGTATTTATGTCCAAAGTCGATTGGACCTAGGGCATAATACTTACAAAGATTTATAGTCGTTGATGCAACAGTATAACTCATATAAGAGAGAAATTTTATCCTAAAATTATCCCTCGGTCTATTAGGTAGACTTGTTTTTATCTAAAAACACCAGTATGGTTCAACAGCAGGCAGGGAAAAATTGTATAACGAAGGCTGGAAAACTGCAGGCAAAATATATTATTCAATTGATCAATCGAACAAAAAGCAAAACAAAGAAAGTCGAGAAAATAAATTGTGATCTGAAAGCCGAGGGTTAATTCCTTGAGAATGAGGTTGCCATGCGCATCACGTGGCATTATTTATTAAAAAACCACACAGCAAAATGAAGCAGTACAGGGATTATTTGGATGAGGAATTGGCGTAACTTAAGACGCTGTATACCGTCTGAATTGTGGTTAGAGCAAAAAGAAATATTGCTGCAATGACCGAAAGAATAGACCATGGATTTCTAAAATAGTTGTGCATGATATCAGCCCTCCATGCATTCCATGGCTTCTTGCAGTAGTAACTGACACTGTTATGCACTTTTGCTAATCTGTTCTCAGGATCTAGCGTAACATCCTTGGATAGAGAATTGAATAATTCAGCAACAGCTTTGTCGCTGCCAACCGCATGCTGGATGATGCCACTCGAGTGCAGGAGGCTAACGTCTCCAGCACTGTCGATGATGTTGTCCATGAAAAAGATGTAGGAAGTCACCTCATTCCCTGCATTGACGTGAAGTCGCTCAAATGCCATTAGATTTAGATACGATGATTGAGTAGTATCATCGACCATTATTGGTGGAAGCTTGAGCACCCCTCTATGGAACGAGATATCTTTTAGGCTTTTTGTTTCACTTTTCTCGATTTGGATACCAGCTTCGTTAAGCTCGGTAGCAGACCGGATGATCTCGTCTTCACCTTGGTGAACTTTATGGTCAACGTTCTTGTCAGGTTCTTCCAATAGGCTCTTCCGATATACATCTAAAATGTGTAGGCATTTTCCCATGTTTTTAACACGGTATTGACCAAAGAAGTTGAGAATGCGCTTAATCACAATACTCTCTTCTATCTGAATAAAAAATAAATCATGCATTAGTTAGAAATAGACTTAAATAAAACAAATGCTACGAATATTGACCTCAACTAGCTTCTCAAGAACCAGCAGAGGCAACTGATTTTCAAGCTTCAACATGTCGCGTTTGAGGTATGGCACAATGTAAAGCTTTCCATGATCGCTGAAGATGGGATCATTGGGATCGTAGTCATTCCAAGCCGAAGTGCAAGTGTGCATTATTTCCAAAATGAAACAACCATCAAGGATCATCAACTTCAAAAATTCTTCAGTTCCTAGTCGCCATTTGGAATCCAATTGATCATATGCATCATTCAAATCATCCACCACTTCCGCTAATGCATTAACGTAGACCTCGATTGGTTTTCCCGATCGTTTTAAAAAGTGAAGAAGTGCTAGATGCTTATGCTTTTCCATTGCCTTTAAGTGGTCCTCTTCATGATGGTAAGGACCCAAAGACGCTGTATCAGGCTTATAGGCCTTCTTATTTAGTTCAATAACGGCGGAAGGTACTCTGTAGATTGATCGCTTCTTCCAATGCGCCACCTCTGTCGTAGAACCCGCCATGCTGTCGAGTTCATTTTTTATTTTGATTATCCAATCTTTTCTTTTCATTTTTTTCTTTACTATTTTCAGTCTTCTCCTATGATATCCTTAATAAGACATCCATATTTATATGGTTGATTTTTTGACAATGTTGTTTCTAAATCAAACATTCTGTTGTTCCTTGAAGGAATAGGAAGCAACTTATGTGGTAACTTGATTAACAGGAATTCTTGGAATCGAATTCCGTAGGTTCCTTAAAGTGAAGGCAACAACAATATTATAAGATAATAAACTTTTATGTGTGTTGGGCTGTGATGTCAATGTCCAGTCCAACATAGGCTGTGTTTATAAAAAAAGGCCCAATATGAAATGAGATGGTTCACTTGATCGAGCCCAATAATTCAGCCCATTTCTTAATCGCTCTGGAGCCGTTGGATTGACCCACTGATCAACGGTTGATGGTCTTTCTATATATATGACCCTTTCTTGCCCTAGAAGAGTGAATCGTTATTTTTCTTCTCTCTGTGAGTCGTCTCTCTTTCTAGAACATTTAAGGGCTTTCTGTCTCTGTGATTTTTTTATCTTCTTTCTGTGAGATTTTCTAGTGATTATCTTTGTGATAATCGAGTCTTTGTCTGAGTAGTCTCTGTGTGAGTGAACTGGCTGTTGACGTGGTGTGTCCATTTTTTGTTCCATTGAAGCGATTCTGTGTTTGGGTCTGTGAGGGTCTATGGTTGAGTCTGGTGCCTCTATTATGTTCCTTAGAGGTTTATGGTCTGAACCTATGAAAGGTTGAAATCGCGATGCTGCGGTCTTAGGTTTTTGTAAAGTTCTTGTATAATTTCTTATACAGTTTCAGATCTTTGAATAATAATGTGAACTGTAAAGTGTATAAAGATGTTGCTTCAAATGCTAAATTTTTTTTTTATGACTTCTAATTAACCAACAAATTCCATCCCTTGAGCCTTGTGTTTTAGAAATCAAAAGAACGGCAAAATGGTATCGTGTAGATAATGCCACATAAATCATTTAAGCTTCATTATTTTCTATACCATGCTCGTGATAGACTAAAAGAAAATTGTTTTCGTTGTACTCAATCAAATAACCTTTTATATTTTAAGCGTGAATATGACTTGAATGATTTAATTAGTGATCTTGTTATCGAACTCGAATTTCATGACACAAGTCTTTCCACATCCTAAAATTTGTTGATTCTAGAGTCAATTAAAAGAGCTCTATAATTCTCATCCCGTCTCTATAACATAATGGAGATAATTATCTAATGGAATGCAGTTTTTGTATTTTTCTCATCTTCATAGGGACAACGACCATACGTCATTTACATATCCACAATCAATCTCATTATTTTTGGTTTCCCCACGTAGGACGAGTTTTTGAAATCTATAGCATTTTTAAACTTATATAAGCATCTATTTGGTTAAGATACAAATAAAAATTTAAGTAAATTTCCATAAAAGTTGATAAAACATATGCATGGTTGAAAAGTTGAAAAAAGTATTAATCTCGTGAATAGGGGCAGATCCAGCGCATGGCAAGCACTTGCGGCCGCCCGTGCTGGATCGGCCAGAATGTTCAACAACGCCGGGCACCGGAGGTTTGCAGACTTACAGTTTGCAGAGATGGAGGAAGAGGGAAAGAAAGAAGATGACCGGTTTTTCATTTTTTTTTTGTTTAGGCTACTGACAATTGACATGGGCCTCTTTTTGTTTAAAAACACTAGGCCCAATGGTCCATGGTATTTCCCCCAAATCAAGTCCAAATCCAATACTCCAATCCAATTTCAAATTCATAAAAGGCAAACTTGAGGCTGAAGCTGAAGGTTGAAAGCCTGAAACCAACCGCAAACCCTTTTCCAATTCCAAAATTTCCATTCGAAGCAAAAGCAGCAACTGCGCCTGCGATTTGTGCGAAGTTCGAACTACGAATGATGGTCACTGCTTTGCTGCTAGCTCTTGCTGCTGACGAGAGGCCACGGGCAAGGCGCCGAGGAAGAGGATAAGGAGTC